GAGAGGCCGCCGCCAGGCCAAGTCACGGAAAGGCGGCAGATGAGGCATTTTTTGTCTTACATCCGGTGTTCGACAAGGTGTTCTACCATCGCAGATGCAGCCACACATGTACCTTGCGGCTTTAGTTGCAAAACAGCGTCGTCTGCCAGCCACAACTGCATTGCATCTGCAGTGTACATTTCACCAGCAATGCAACGTCACAGTGCAACATCCTGCTATCTTCACAGTGCAACATCCCGCTATCTTCACAGAGCAACATCCCGCTATCTTTTCACACACTCGGCTTCGCAGTCCTCAGGAACAAAGAAATTGTTCGCGTTTCCGCCAAACCCCGAGTAGTTCATCGGTCGACACGCCCGCGAAGCACCGTCATAAAAGTAACGCGTCCGGTACTGAAAACTCGTTCCCGGGTCCGGAGGCAGGTTGCACACGTCCGTCTCGTAATCTTCACCTTGACAAACATTCTGGCAGTCGCTGTAGCTGAGGAAGTTGTTCCAGTTGCCAAAACACCCCGAGTAAATGAACCACTCGCAGCGGTGCGTTCGAACGTTGTGGTACCACCGCGCCTGCCCGTTGAAGCAGACCTCGAAGCCGCGGACTTTCGGAAGCAGACAGCCAATCGTGGGAACTCTCTCCACAACAACGTCGGGCTGCCGACAGAAGAAAGTGCAATCCTCCAGCGATAAGAACGAGTTGAAGGCGGCGCATCCCCGCGAACGAAACGCGACGCACCGGTTCAGCGTCTCGTCATAATAGAACCTGGTGTCGGGCCAGCGGCGCGGCGAGCACAGGTCCCGATCGTGACGAGGGGCACCGCAGCGCCACTGATTCACACTCTTCACGTCCATGTCCACAAAGGCGCTCGTCTTGCAGATTTCTTCGCAAACAGTGCGGGTTGGAAAATTGTTCCCATTGGAATCGCATTCTGAGCCGCTCTGAAAGGGAAGGCAGCTTCTGAACGCTGAGCTGTAGTACCAGCGCGGCTCATACATGCAGTCATTGGCCAGGAGAGCGGGAGCGGCGCAGATCTTCGGCACACTCACTGGCACCATCGGCAGCTGGATGCCCGCTGGCGCCTTGGGCTGAACCTTCATGCCGAAGAGCCTAGACTGCTTAACAGATATTAGGTTTTCTTTGTCTGCACGGAATGATACCATCTCATGGCTTTCGTGGACCTCATTGTCTTGACTGGCCTCGTCGTAGGGTCCTGTCGCTCCATACGTATTGTGCTCCGTGCTGGCGTTTCTCAAAGGTCCCGGCGGAGTCCCCTTCTCCAGAGTCGGCTGGCCAAGGGTCACTCTGCATGACAATTGGCTCTGTGGACTTGCAAGGATCAAACACAATAAAATAGCGCCATACAACCGTGACACGATTTGTTCGCAAGATTGATTTAAAAGTAAATCCCGCATCTAGGAATGCCGATAAATCATCTGCGCTCGGGTCGCCGCTAGAACCGGGCGCAGCACGCTTCTTACATGGCCGAAGTAACTGTACCACGCTGCATAACTCCGCCAGTGCATGGAACTCATAAAACGAAGCGTCTGTCTGCCGTTTCTTGTCTACACTCCGATAAACGGGATCCTCGCAAGGCATGGAAGTGGTATTTCATTAAAACTGTAGAATGTCCATTCGACCCAGTGTAATACGCCCTGCCATATCGCGATCAAGGCAGCTCAATACTTGCGATGCGACGCTGTTGCAAGGTGATGACAAAAACACAGCTCACAAGCTCAAACAAAACCGATCTTTTTCCTGACTGCTCCCGTGCTTTGTGTGCCCTGCACCCTCTCATTCGAAAGATTCGTAGCGATGATGGCCTTGACAAGGTGGAGCCAAGCTGCTCAAAGCAAGACAGTGATTAAGTATAGTCCCTAACCTGATGTCTTCAAACGGGATCTGGATGATATAGTGAAATAGATTCATAGTGAAATTACCGTACTGCACAGTACTGGTACCCCAATTGGCGTTTACAATTCAATTGTCATAATTCGGTGCTTTTAAGCCTGAATCGATTAGCATCAGCCTCGCGTCTTATTGGAAGTGGAATAAAACCGCACTTTTACTGTTTATATTCTGAATGGTCTCGCACTACAGATTATTTGCAAGCCGTCAGCTGCGTATGCGATACCAGTCATTTGAAATTTATCAGGTGACTGATCCAGTGCACAATATGAGTGCTAACGTGCTTGATGGTGCTGCATGTTGGTGTTTCTTGACCTGTTGTCTGAACAACGCATACTGACCAGCCCTCCAGCACAAAACAGTTACGCAAACGCAAACAAATACAGACATCGCAGGCAACAATTTTCGTATTGTCCTCGCCCACGAGCATGGAATTGATAGTAAACAAAAACTTGTTGACCACGTTCCATTCCCTGGTATTGACGCTTTCAAAGTCCCTTGTCTCTTATCCGTACGGAGTTGACCGTAGAGTCCTAGTTCCCACATCAGCTCGATCGATCGCCACCACGGCCAGAGGTCACACGGAACGCCCTAAACATAACAATTTGTAACTTGTATTCTCCTCGTTTTGAGAAGTGAAGCAGCTCGCTGCGTCCCGCGGAATCCTGCAGCGCGTCAGCACCGTCCACCAAAGTCCGTCTGGCACCGAGCCAGACATCTGACCAAAGATCCACGACAGGAGCGGCCCAGCGCCTCATGAGGCCTCAGCCACGGCCCGCCCGCGAGGCCGGCTGGCAGGCACCGGTCCAGCGCCGGTTGAGACCTCAGCCACAGCCCGCCCGCGAGGCCGGCCGGTCGGCACCGGTCCAGCGCCGCTTGAGACCTTAGCCACAGCCCGCCCGCGCGGCCGGCTGGCAGGCACCGGTCCAGCGTCGCTGAGACCTCAGCCACGGCCCGCCGGCCGGTCCGCGCCGGTCCGGCTATCCGAGCGTCTCCGTCTCGCGTAAAAGCCAGGCGTGCGCGGCGGTGCGGCCCTGCGCCTGTAGCACGGCACCCACCGTCTCGCGACACTCGGCGTGATAGTCGTTCAGCCAGCCGATCTGCCGACGACAAAGGTAGTCGTCCGTCACCGCCAGGCCGAGCAGACGACGGCAGATGACGCAGCAGAACAGCGACAGCGATACACGCAACGGAAGGGGTCATCCTTTGGACGGGGAGTACAAACTATCGGCAGCTGCCATTCCCAACTACAGGAAGACGTGATAGTTACCATTTTAGAATCCAGGTGGGGTGCAGCAGCGATCGGCAAAGTACGTTTATGGCGGTGCAGGTGGACATTTCAGAATTGCGGTGGAGGTAGACAAAGATCACATTTTAGGCCATGACACACACAGTGGTAATATCGAACATTTGACAGCAGCAGACAGTATCACTCGAGACTATGAGAACGGACTGACACCTCAGATCGCAAGATATCGGGCATTGATGTTTTCAATCTCGAATCTCAATATCTTGTAGGCTTTCAAAACGATTTCAGAGCGCTTTCAACATTGTAATCTCAAATCGGCGGACATTGGGTCGAACACCTGGGGTTTCGCCAGTCCATGGATACAGTAGTCCAGCTGTCAGTCCAGGAAGCGTCCCTTCGTTGACGGAATAACAATCAGCCACTCAAAACACACAATGCTTTAGTCCCGCCCACCAACTGGCCTCAAACGAGGCACGTCCATTCCAGCCCAATCACAATGGTCACCCCGAGTCCTGCAAAAGCTTGTCAAAGACCGTCGACCGTCAACACAGTCCTCTCCCGCCCAACCAGCGCCGCCGCACCTCCTGCTGCGTGAGCAGCTCCGGCACCAGCATCTTGGTCTGCACCGGCACCAGCGTGACGTGCGTGAACGTCAGGAAGCCGCGCCCACCGAAGTTGTGCTTGGTGGCCGCCGGTACCACGCGCACAATGTTCTCCAGCCGAATTCCGAACTGGCCGTCCTCGTAGTAGCCCGGCTCTGAGGAGGTCAGCCAGCTGGTGAGGTCATGGACAGGTCGGCCAAGTGTGGGCGACTAGTCACCAGGGCACGGCACAGTGCATGCTTAAGGTTATTTTGTGTCTCGTGTCGAGCGCGCACGTCACAGTAAAGCATCTCATCACAAACCATGACGCCGGCGAACAACATGAAACCAAGAGACGAGCAGACGCATCTGAGACGAGCGGAAAACATACGAGACGGTCGGAAACCATCCAAGACGAACGGAAACCATCCGAGACGAACGGAAACCATCCAAGACGAACGAAAACCATCCGAGACGAACGGAAATCATCTGAGACAAGCAGAGAGCATGAGACAGATGAGAAACACTTGAGACGATCCTGCCCAGGAGTCGTACGGTTTGGACCGACCATACGCTGCTGTTATGCCCCTAAGACCAATATCTCCTGTCGTCTCACCACCCGAGACAGCGACGTACTGCTGCCGCGCCTCTGAGACGGACATGGCCTGCAGCAGTGCCATCCGAGACGAAAATAACCTTCTGTCTTACCATCTAAGATGACGTTGCACTGTAGCTGTCGTACCATCTAAGACGGGCACAGCAGGTGTGCCGTCCCTGCCATCGTACAGCGTAAGGCAGTACTGCTGTGGCGGCACTGTCTGAGGCCAATACGCCCTGCTGTCGGATCATCTGAGCCGAACATGCTCTGCTGTCGCACCTCCAGACGAGCACGCCCTGCTGTCTTACCATCTGAGACCAACATCCCTGCTATCGCACTATCCCAGGCCCACACACCTTGCTGCCGTACCATCCGAGACCCACACCCCTGCTGCCGTACCATTCCAGGCCAACACGCCTTGCTGTCGCACCATTTCAGACGAACACGCCCTGCTCTCGTACCATCTGAGACGAACATGCCCTGCTCGAGGCCGGCCTCGGAGGGTGGCTGCGGCCGGCTATGGATCGTCATCGGGCCCTCGTGCACGTTCAGATAGGAGCCGATGCCGTGGCCAGTGCCGTGCGAGTAGTCGAGGCCCACATTCCAGAGCGCCAGCCGAGCCAGCGGGTCAAGCAGTGTGCCCTGGCGACGGTCAAACGCCCGTCAAAGGCGGGAGTGACACCTCCCGGCTACCGACAGCCAGGCGCCGGTTGCAAGCCTGCGGGAGTTGTGCTGGTGTTACCTTTCTTCAGCTACGCGGAGGACAGCTGCATACAGCACGCACGGTGCACGGCATACTAATTGCGTGATTCGGTTCAGTGTTAAGCGGAGTTCACGACTGGAACGTAACGGAAAAACGGAGCCCCGCACCCAGTGCATTCCATTCTAAGATTGGCACATTTCTATCCCAGAGCAGCGGTAGGCTCTATGCCTCCAGGTTGGTGCGTGCGAAAGAGCGACGGCTCTGCTCACGGGAGCTGACGGATTATTCAGAGCCAATGACGAGCTCAGTATTTCGGTTACACCGTGCAGTGGGCCCAGTCTCAGTCCGCCAATGTTTCTCACAAAGTCATTATAAGACAACACCCGCCAAATTATTGATGCTCCGGCTAAGTCAAACATCCGTTGTCCGCCCTTCCCACTTTACATAACGGTTTTTACATCGGACGAGCAGGAGACCCTGGCTTCTCGGTGCCCGCAGACGGCCAGCAGTACCGCGTGACCTGTCGCCCGAGCGGCGCCGCCGTGCCAGGGCCAGTGGCGGCAGCACGCCACTCACCCGGGTCTTGTTCGGGAAGACGGCCGTGGCCAGCGCGATCTGGCCCTTCAGCACGCGCGTGAAGCACTCCTTTTGGTGTTTGGTTGGATGGCCAAAGTGGACGGTGCGCGTGACGTCAGTAGTGCCATCTCTGGCGGGCACGGGAAGTAGGTGTCAGCACGCCAAAGGACGAGTGTTGCAGGCCCAGAGGTGCCGTCTCTGGCAGGACTAGAGGTGCTGTCTCTGGCGGGCACGACAGGTGAGTGTCAGCACGCCGGAGGACGGATGGTGCAGGAGTGGAGGTGCCGTCTCTGGCAAGACTAGAGGTGCCGTCTCTGGCGGGCACGACAGGTGAGTGTCAGCACGCCGGAGGACGGATGGTGTAGGAGCAGGGGTGCCGTCTCTGGCGGGCACGACAGTTGGGTGTCAGCACGCCGGAGGACGGGTGGTGCGGGCGCTAGTCACCGCAGCCGCTGACTGATACACAGCAGACCAATCTCCGCCGCGACCACGCCGCCAATGGAGAGCGACCGAGCTGAATGGTTAATAAAGCGTCCAACCAAAAACATGATACAACAGGCGGAGTTTGGCAACACTGACCCACACGTCGTCTCATCCACCTGGCGCCATGGGCCCACGCCCGCTCAGATGTCCATGCTCTACACCTCTGGTTGTGCGTGCGGCACCGAACACTAGACCAGCCTAACGACGGAACAAGTTTGGGTGGTTCACGCGATGCATCCAACAGGTCTAGCTGTGATTACCGCGCACAGATTGGCGCTGATGCTGCGTGTGGGTGGCATGGTTCAACTAGCGGTGACCTGGTCTGCTCTGTGTCGGCGAGCTAGCCGCGCGCATTGGTGACAGATCAGAGAGTTGGTGCACGAGCTCTGGCAGCCAGGCCATGGCCTGCACTACTGTGCTTACGCAGGAAGCCAACTATGAACAACTGCCAGGAACAAACGTTGGGGCAAAAAATGATCCAGGATGCTAGCTCCAAAACATTTTCATCAACTTCAGCACAAGACGCTGGTTTCAGGCCCTTCGCTTGTCCACTGAAAAACTGTTTGTTTACACCTATGAGGTAAAATCACACTATGCGATATTGCCCTAACTGGTATTATCCCAGGGTGGAGAGCACAATTTTGCTGCGTGCTTCAGTTCAGCTGATGGGGTAGCACACTTGGCTGACCTGTACTGGCCTCCCGAGTCGACCAGGTACAGCTCGTCGGCCGTAATGGGCCGGTCGGTGGCGGCCGCCGGGTGGTAGTGAATGACGGCACCGTTCGGACCCGAAGACGATATCGTGGAGAAGCTCAGGCTCACGAACAGGTCCTGCTCGGCCCTGCCAAACGCAGCCAGGGACTGTGTCAACGGTGCCGTCTGATGACACAGGCATCTCACACTGCCATGCGACCAACGTGGACATGAGGCTGCGTTGCGGAGTCAGACATTCCACACACAATGCGCCATTCGTTTAGAAGCGCTACGCGCCATGCCAGCCGCCGCCGAGCCCGCCGTCGGTCAGCCGGGCATCTGGCGGTGCTGGCGGGTCGGGCTCACCGTAGCGCGTCTAGCTTCTGGGCGCCGGACACTTCGGTGACGTTGTGACCAGCCGACACCTGCTCTTCCAGCCAGCTCAGGTAGGTGCACAGTGCCGCCGCGTCCCGCACGTGCGCGCTGTGCATGCCTGCCGTACGGACGTGTGGCAATGAGCACGCTGACGTGTTGTGCAATCGTGGAAACGAACGGTGTTGTCCAGGCTGGCACAGTGATAATACGGATACGACGATGACCTCACTGGCTCGCTGCCGGAAGGTGGACGCCTGGCGGTAGCTGTTGTAGCTAACCTAGAAGTGGCAAAGTCGCCTCTCACAGCATCGACATTCTCCGGGACCTTCCGAGGCAGCGAGTGGCGGGGCTTCGGCTCAGACGTTCAGACCATCCTGGCTCAGCGGCGCCCCGGTGTAACGATCTGCGTCTGCATCCGTGACGCGACGGACGGCGCGCCCGGCTGGCCGGCTGCGACCCAGGCGACGCCACACCACTCACCCTGTATCTCGGTGTCGTTCTTGATGGCCTTCATGGTACAGGGCGGGGTACGTTCCAGCACGCGCTGGCTTCTGTCGAATATGGCGGTCAGCGCGTGGCTGGCCAACGGACAGAGCCAGGCCTTGCCGTCCATCTCGGCCGCCTGCAACACAAACAGACGCCGGGTAAAGGCAAATGAAAAGGATGCCCGCTCGTTGCATCCGGGTATTGCAGGACAGAACCAGGGATTACAGCCGCTCACATGAGCCACGAGGACCAGACGCGTACAACTGGAAGCATGCTCAGCTGCGCAAAAATATATCTTCTAGCAGCCAAAAAAGCGTAGACACATCGCTAAGCACGGTGAAACCAAACGTGGACATAGTGGTGAGAGGTGGTACGAAGGGTCAAACGCAGTGGTGAGTGGAATCAAACGCAGTGGTGATAAGAATTAAGCGCAGTGGTGAGAGGAACCAAAGATGAGTGTAACGTAATGATCAAACAGGGTTGCTGTATTCTGTGGTAAATATGCATCAACGAAAACAGGCAACTATCACGACCAAGAACTTTCCATTAGCACACCAAAATTAACGTGAAACTGAAACGTCCAAAACCTAAGAAGTACGTATCTATACTGCATCGCCAGATTACTTCAGGACGCGTGGGGCGCACCAGTTCTCACCTTATCCTTCAGGAATGACCAGACGTCCTCGTATCCGTGCAGCTGCAGGTCGGAGACGCCCTCATCGGCGAAGTGCTGGGCCACCCCGGAGCTCAGCTTCTGCGCGTCGATGAACAGGTGCACCGTGTCGGGCAGCACCACGCAGTAGGAGAAGAACACGGGGTTGAAGACGATGTCGCTGCCGCGCAGGTTCAGCAGGTCTGGACGCGGAACGGCCGTCAGTTGGTGCCCCCACGTGGCGGCGGGGCGCGTCCGCCGCTACGCGATCAGCGCCAGAGGCGACGCCGCCCGGAGCGAGTCTGGGCCGACACAAGACCACTCGGTGCGGCGCTTTCAGTGGAGACATGTGGGGTCGGAGGAATGACGTTCGTGAAGCACAGTAAGGCACGGCTACACTATTGTTCATACTGCGTTACGGACGTCGAACAGCGCGTGGTTGGCGTACGGTGCCGCAGAGTAAACTTCCACGGCGTGGTCCGTATTACGCGGCAGTGGTCCGTATTACGCATTACGCCGAGCCCGTCACACTCACAGGCGATCTCGTCCAGCGCCGCGATCGCCAGCAGCGTGCACTTGCGCTGCTGCATCTGACTGCGGACTTCCTCCAGCTTGCTCTTCACCGACATCCCTGCCATACAACACGTTTGGAACACGTTCATTTCTGCGAAACTCAACATGCGTTTCCACTAGATGCACACATTACACGTACGAGGTCACATGCCGCAACCAATCGAACCGTACCACGTTGAAGGGCTGCATCGAGTCCAATATGACAAAATTCCTGCAGACGGGACAACTGGCCCAGAGGCAGCGTAGCACCGCACCCAAACCCCGCGAGAGCAGCCTCTCGCTGCACGGCTGCGTGCGGCCAGGCGGCCCCGACGAGCGGCCAGCCGGCCGCAGCGCACCTGTGTACTTGACGGGGTGCGGCAGCACTGCGTTGGAGGTGCGCGCCGGCTGCTCGTTCCAGACCAGGTCGACCAGGTTCTGCTGGACAGGCCGCAGGCTGTGGCCAGCGGCGGACAGCTCGGCCGCCAGGGTGTCCCAGACGCGCGACGACAGCAGGCGCGGGTCGACGCCCACCGCGCCGCCCGTCGCCGGCAGCGTCGACGACAGCCACTCGCCCTGCGTCGGGGTGCCGGCCACGCCTGCCGAAGAGGCCCGCGTCACGGGCTGCGGCAGCCGCACCGCAGGCGGGACGAGCAGCGACGCTACCACGCCCATCCATCCGATGCGTTGTTAGCAATGTGGGCCAGACATGAGCAGCCGAAGCTGCGATAGCTTCGGATCGGTGATCGCATTCGATCGAATCCCATATTGACGTAATAACGCAGGGCAGGTCGCCACTTATATGGCACAAATACACTATAGAGTTGGTGATGATCACGAACCAATACTCTCGTAATGCAGAAGTGCTCTATGTTCTGTGAAAAAGTACATTGAATGGCCCCACCACTACAAGTACCACGAACACAACACAGTCTGGGCAAATGATGCACAACACCTCAGTGTGACACTGGATTATTCTGAGCCACAACAGCCGCTACATTCAAGCACGTCTACCTAAACAGCGGCTGCAGGCCGGGTGGCCAGGCTGTGCACACTGACCATCCTTCATGAGCGTCCAGTTGAGGTCCATTTCGGCGCGCGCCTGCAGGTGGTACCGTCCGTCGGTCCAGAGGCAGGCGTGTGTCTGCGTCACCACGGCCGTGCCGGCCGAGCCGGTGAAGCCGGTCAGGAAGGCGCGCCGCTCGTCGCACGCCGCCAGGTATTCACTCTGGTGTCAGAGGTCACAGGTCAATGTCCTGCATAGACAGCCATACGCCGGTACTCGCTGGCACGCTGGTACTACGTTCGCACTCTGAGGGAGGATTGCAGGTCAAGTGCCGAGGCGCATGCTGCCAGACACCTACCCTGGGCCGCATGGACCAAGAGTCGATATCCTGGACAGGGAATCAAATGTCACATGCTGTCAGGTATTCGTGGACCACGCGATTCATAGCTCGCATATTACCTGCTTGGGCATCACAAGTCATGTGTTAACACTGGGCGGTACGACTCAAATGTAGGTTTTGGAGAGGCACGGAATTTATAGTATACTGTCTCTACGGATAGTACTGTCACAGCGCACACCTCGGCCGGTAATAGGCACGAGAGGAAGTCGGCTTTGGCTTCAGCTTCGGCTTCAAAAAGCCGCACCTCCTTTGCAATAGCTTGGGGTTCGGCTTCGTGCCATTTCAGACGTTTGGCTTCGGCCTCCGCCTAAGCTTGGGGTAATTCATAAAAGCAGGCGTCCGCTTGGGCTCTAACTACCAACACTTCTTTAATTATGGCCACGACCTCTACGCCATCTGATCTTGAACTGCTCGCTTCGGCTCCGCCATGGCGTTTTGTCGCTGCAGTTACGGCTCCACTTCTCAACAGCATTGGTGCCCGTCTTTTCATCACAATCTACAACATAACTTTCCAGGAGTGCGACGCAGATATGTCTGGGAGTACAAACCAGTCGGGCATCCCCAGGACCAAGTACCACCCGACACCGGCCACAGAATGAACCCCCGAAACGTCGTGCAAGTACTAACACACAGCTACAGGACGACGGTCCAAAGAACCTTCCGTCTGTTATGCAATCACCCCGCCTCACCCGGTCCGTAAAACCATGACGATATTTTCTGGGCCCGTACTGTTTTGCGCACGCGAAAATGGCTTTGGTCTCGCAAACTTATTCACCAGGCTTCGGTTTCGGCCTTGTGATCTTAAGCTGGCGGGCTCTACTTTGGCTTCGTGTTTCTTAAGCTCGCTCATTTCTCGCTTCGGATCTGGCTTTAACTTAACAAATTTGAAGTCACTGGTTTCGGCTCCAGATTCGCAGTTCCAAACTTTAAAGCAACCGGCTTCAGCGTCGACCTCGGCTTCGTGTCATCGTCTTGGCTCGGATTCGACTACGACGCCAGGAGCTCGGTTTCATCCCTGTGCCTGACCGGTAATCGATGAAACGATGCAACTTTATGTTGCAGCATTAAAATCAAGACGGTGACCGATGACAGCACGGTTTGGGTCGGATCGTAATGCGAGCCGTACGTACCCCGTAACACTCCGCTGATGATAATGCGAGTCGTACACAAACCGTAACACTCCGCTGATGGTAATGCGAGCCGTACATCCCCCGTAATAATCCGATGATGGTAATGCGAGCCGTACATACCCCGTAACAATTCGAGAATGGTAATGCGAGCCGTACATACCCCGTAACAATCCGATGATAGTAATGCGAGCAGTACATACCCCGTGAGAGTCCGCTGATGGCACAATGTAGGCATGTAGCTCTTCATTGACATATTTGGTGTTCTTCATGAGCGACCTCAGGTGCTTCAGCAGGTGAGTGGTGTTTTTGGCACCAGCCATGGTGGACATTCCACAGAGCTGACGTCTGCAACATATGCTGTCTTTTGAACTGGCTCAACCAGAATGCAACAGTGGAAGACAGTTACTAGCAGCTTAAGGTATGTGCAGGTGAAACAAGTTCACCATTTTTGCAGATGTGTAAGATCAATCAGGTTTGAACTGGGGAAGTGACATGCAGGCAAATCAATAGAAAGCCATAGTAAACAGGTAAAGAAGCTGAAAAGAACTAGTGTCAAATTAAAATACAAAGAATGCTGCTGTGGCAAACTACAAAGATCATATGCTGATGACTGAAAGGACACAGTTTGTGGAGAGAAGCAGTTAAGGCACAACACAAAAATATAGGTTAGCATTGCCCTTCTTTGAGACATAAAAGCAATATATGACAGGTGAGGTTAACTCCCACTCAGGCTTTCACAAGACAAAAATTGGATATAAAGGAACTGCATTACACACTATGCTTTGAATGCACTGCATATGCTAAAATCACATCATCTGAACATTGATACCACTTTTTAAATGTTTTCTTAGGCCAGGAGATTAAGGCTGCCAAGCATCAGGTTCTATTCCAAAATGAGGTTTAAAGCTTACATTTGTAGCCGCACAAGTTCAAAGCTAAAATTATCAACAACTAAAATGCTTCTAATTTTGCACTCCAAGTCAGGTTGTTATACCACTGATATAAGCATGTCCTGAATGGAATAGGTCCTGAGAAATACTTTCTTCTTAAATGACATAAGCATGAGCCAAAACATCTCAAATTATTCAGGAAAAGGAAGGAAGCTCTACAACAAACAGGTGCAGGAGTGACATTTAAGCAACAATTTTGGTGTACACACAAAAAATCTGAGTGCCCCAGCTTTAGTGTGTGGTCACCATCAATTTTGACACATAGCAACCAATGTTACAAGTAGTTATGACATTGCTCATGCATTGCATGCATGCTTCAGCCTCAGCCAGTACAATACTGTGTGGGAGGCCTGTGTCCTGTAAAGGACCAGCACAGAGAATGGGGTTTTCAGATTGAGCAAGCAGAATGAAATGGACCAGAAACCTTTTAAAAATGGGAAAATAAACAACATTAAAAGCAGAGGCAGACATTGTTCATGCGACTTAAGCCTACTTTAAGAAGGCATTTTGAAACAGCACAGTAAGCAACATGGTGTTGCATGATAAAAACGGCAGGGTACACCACAAACTAAAAAGGTAGTGTTAAATAGGGAAAACTTGAACAAGCAAAACACGTGGAAAACCAACTAACCGGACGTACTGTTACTGTACAGTGGGTACTGAGGTACGAACCGATCTCGAAAACGGCCTCCTTATTGCAATGCCCGGATACTATTGCAATTTGGCCGTGTATGGAGCAGGGGTTTAGCGGTAACCGCCTTGCAACACCATAATGCCGGTACTACCGTTATAATTTCTCCCAACTTAAGATCGCCACACCAGCGCCATAAACGCGTGAAGGTTACCAGCGAGGACGCTATTTAGGAGACTATTTCGCTGTCTTGTCTGTAGCCATCTCCACACATTTTGCAACTCTAATTGTCTTGAAATGTTCGTCACAGGAATTGCGAAGAACAATTTTCTCGGATCTTCCGAGTCTGATACCTTCTGTATGAGTGCATCTGGTGTCAGTTTAAAAGATCTCCAACAATGGAAGATCCAAAATTGTGAGCCATCTTTGCTTCAGTCCCCACGTCATCCTCAAAACTTGCAGCAGAACACGCAGTAGTTCGCGCAGGAACGGATCCAGAGGGGGCCACGGGCCATGTCCTCCCTTGGGCCCCGAAGGGGCCCATGGCAGCAGAACAAGCGCAGTTTGTTATTACACAAAACGCAAAAATTGGACGTTTCTGGGTTTACAAGAGACCGAGAACAGTGGCAAGCGAAAGTGAATAAGGCACGAGCAGACAAAAAAAAATCCACTCAATGAGAGGGTGGTGATTGGATGGTTTTCAGGGTCACTACGCTGTCCAGAAACTTCATGACAAAAACCGTCAAAGTCCAAGCTTTTTCGAAGCTCTTAGTACGCATGAAACTGCCACGGAATGCCATACCCATCGAGGCTCTCTGCATCATCAAGGGACACACTGGTCGGTCTAAACATGACATTTTTTATTCGCACGCGTCACAGCACAATGTGACAAAATTTCTACTCTGGTGCGGAAAACTAATGTCACCAACTGCCCGGTAACGTTACAAAAAATGCGTACCGCACAATCCAGCCAAGCTCACGACTTCACCAACGTCCACGCAGCTGCCACGGCCATGCCGACTGACGCAGAATGTTCTGCGTCTGCAGAGACCGAGACACCACACATAATTACTCTGTCCGATTTTCAGTTAGACCACATCCCATGTCCACATCGCACACAACTCCGTGACATGCTACCTCAACAGTCCGATGTTTTCGAAACTTCGATACATGACATCAAAAGGTACCTTGTGAACGAACATTACATCGAACGCAAAGACACTACACCGGGCTACAAAAACCCGCACCGCCTGCAATGCGATTAATTTTTTTCGCACACCCCGACATCACCACATCCGAGGTCGATAAACTACTCGCAAGTGGTATTATCGGGCCTGCCGTCCCTCCCTACAAAATTGTTTTGGTCAAGAAGTCTGAACTTGGTATGTGAACATGGTATGGTATAGGTTCGCACCTCTTCTGAACATATTATGTTCGTGCATTAACGTCTCCTGAACGTCCGCATCATTGAAGACGATTGGCACTGTAGCATGTTGCGGCAGTCGTCATAGACCAGCTATCCGACCGCGCAGTTTTTCTCTCTAGATTTACTCTACTTATTTCAGCAGGCCAAATTGACACCATCATCTCGTTCATACACGGCATTTGCAGTCAACAACGCTTATTATTGGCATAAACGGATTTTTAAAGGTCACTAATCCTGGTGGCCGACTCACCAGATAGTCTTTCAAATTAACGAAAAACGATATTGATATATGTATTTGGAGTTTGACATTTTCATCACGTATCTTCCAAGTCGCCTAAGCGTCAAAGCTGATATCTTGTCTCGCGTGGAACCCGAGCCTTAATCCAAAACAGACTGCTTTGTTTCGGCCACCGTCTTCGAAAAAGAAGGCTGGACTCGAGACCGGGTCAGAGAGGTACGAGACAAAGATCCGTCTATCATTCCTCTCATTGAGCGACTCTCGGACACGTCAAAAGAGCGCCCAGACCTTCAGTTTGACGAAGAGTTATCAAACTGTTTCTTCAGTTCTGCTGGACTGCTTTATCATGTCGCCTCAAAAACAGCAAAACACGCCCATGCATTGATCAATTAGTAGTCCCAGCTCCATTGAAAATGAGTATCTTCTAAAAAAAAAAACCAGGACACAGTGTTGTCAGGTTATTGAAAGTTCGGAAAAAACTTTTTCCAAAATCTGTCTTTTATTGCTTTGGAAATGCATGTACACAGATATCCACAAATGTGTAAGTTTTTACCGCTACCTTTCGTTCCCATTCCCGTACCGTACCCGTTCGACACCCGTAACGACGCGACGCCCAGCAACGATGACCTCATTCGTTCTTCTGGAAGCTCCGGCAATCCACGCAACAATACCGGTGCAAAATTGTCCATTACGCCGCGGGCCGAGCCAGGGAGCCGGGGGACCTCCCGCTACGCCCAGGATCCGTCTCTGCCGGATGGGCTGGCATAACTGAAGGAGAGGCGGCAGATTCCTGCCGAGCCGCGGCCTCCGGAATACCGGAATGATCGACCGGGCTACAGTCTGAGAGACCACGCGCTCGGCTCATATGATTGTCAGTGCACAGGTGTGTTGCGTCAATGTGGTTGTTCTGCTACATCAGTGCTGTTCATTATCGCTCGTCAATTTGAATTTAACACCGGATTGGTGTTCTCTTCTTTTCAGGTCGACAAATATGGGTACAATCATGCAGCTCCCACACAAAAACGCCCCGATTTTTGTGCTGATGCTTCTTTCGATCATACTAACATCGGTCATCTTATACGACCTTTATCGTTTCAAGAACGGCGCCGAAATTTGCACTTATCGGATGCCACCACCACCTACCAAATATTGCACCTAATCGGAATCAGCCGGCTCACATCTCAGATTTCCCCGCAACATCTGCCGCGTCATGCCGTGTGAGGATAACAGTCCCTAGCTGCTTAGTTCCGATTGTTCAGTCGTGACTTTGGTAATACAAGTCCAGTTTCAAGGCAAACTGGGCGATACCTCACATACGATTTCTTGCCCATTTCCAAATCGTTTTGGGAGCGGCGCTACCTGTGATTGGACCCGATCAGAAGGCCCCAGGTCACGCCGCAGAGGCCAGGACGTCCGTTCTTGCCCGGAGAACGAACCGGTGAGGGGGTGACGCCGCTTTTGTGACGCATTCGCGTGTGACATTATGTTACCGTGCTTTTGCACTACGCACTTTACCAAAAAGGTGCATATCTTTACGTTTCCTCCGATTTCGGCTCTGATGACCTAGTCCTTGTTTCATTTAGCTCTTGTGTTTACCAAACGCCTTCTGTTCAACGTACCTTTAACGTAAATTATTTGGCATTGACACCACCAAATTTCACAGTGCCTTTGCTTCTATCACCTTTCATGACCCAGTACTTTCCTTCAATGGAACTGCGACATCTATAGCCCGCAAAGACGGCCTCGAAATTATCCATCACATTACCCAAAACTCATCCGAATTCATTTGACCAAATTTTTGACGATACAGTGAGGGATCACCGGACTTCACACCCGTTACACCGACGGGTAGCGTATTTTCTGACTTCGTCCACATACCAAGCTCGACTCACTGCTCGTGTATTTCTTACGCTTTCTGCATACAAATGCTCCCAAAGTTTTTTTTCTTCCCGCCGGCCCAACGGTATATTAGTAATGACTTCACCATGTTTATCACAGGATTCATTTTGATTTACGTTCGTGCCGCCTGTTGCCCCCTGTTCTATAGATCGCTCTTCTTGGAGGACTGCTTTGTCCTCAGAATCTTGCGTACTTGCTTTAAACTTTCACTCCGTCTTGGCGCAGCTGCTGGCACAGGTACCCGCACACAGCTCCAAAAAGAAGCCTTTAGCAATGTTTCAAAATTTGCCGATACCCTAACACACCCCTTAATAAACTCATCTATATCATATTCTTCGCCATCTACATCCCAGTTTCGGTACTCACTAGTTGCACTGGTACTTTTTGTTCCCCTCATTCTAGCTAACTCAATGCACGCGCAGTGAAATGAACTCAAATTTGCTACATCCAGCAATTTCATTGTATAACCCAGCCTGCTGCCGAAGACTCTTGCGCTATTTCCGGCCAAGCTCAAAGTGCACTTCTCAACGTCGGTTCTATCATCTGTATTTTCTTCTGAGATGATTGCGGAACCAACATCTACTTTGTGGGAATTACCTTTGAAGACCTGCGTTGCCAACGGGCAACCATCTATCAAAATCACACGTTCTCAGTCTCCATTAATCTTTCATCTAAACTCGATGCCTCAGTTTCAGTGTTGTACTTGGGGAGAAAAATCTGCTGTAAGATGTGGCCATTTTCCAGAAATCTCCAAGGAATTTCTGTTCTTGGCTTGGTCTCACGTCTTGCATCTTTGCAAGACGTGAGACCAAGCTTACAAGAAGACACTTTGCATCTTACCAGTGGTGTCAAATTCTGTGGTGTTATTCATCATGATCCATGTCTTCATTACTGGTGGTATTTTTTCCCAATATAACCCTACGTACCGGACAGCCAAAACTGCTGGACATACGAGCCATCCAGTCATCACCATGTGCGAAGCGATCAATAACAGACTGATCGATACAATCACTTCTGATAGTCACTGCAAATCCCCGGGTGATGCTATCAATTTTGAGCACGTACGATCAACCTCTCTCGCTCCCATCGCGATCCTCTGTCCAGAGGCTTCAAGACATGCCTGACTCACACATCGGGTCTGCCTCTTCAAGCTCCCAACTCGTTCCCGGCCAGCTTGAAGGTATGCAAGCTGCCGCTTCTTTACCTGCCAATTTTATTTTCAATCCAGTGATAGACCCGCCCGAGTAATGAAATGGACGAGTAATGAAGAAAACGACCCGCCTCAGTTCGAGCGTGAGGCAAATGAAACACTCGTCGTGTCGATGCCATGTGCAACGCAGTTTGATTGCAGCAGCGTTGCTGTAGTTGAGCCGCCTCTCCAGTGACCGTGCAGTCACATTCATACGCTGTACTCAATGAGCTCGTCCAGGCGAGCGGCGCCTAATACAGAGGCGCGGCTCTGCATGAGCGAGCTCATTTTCTTCTTTTTAAAGGTGAGAGGGGCTCACGTTGAACAAGGAGGCGAAAGAGGTGGTGATAGGTCCTGGTGATAGAAACCGGCACAAAAAAATTGAAAGTCACCGGGTGTAGCACATTCAATTTCGAGGAGCACGTTTTTGTATTTTGATATCACCTTCCTCTGGAACAGAATCCATAAGGCAACTCGACATAAATTATGTTTGTATTTTAAAGTGAGTAAGCTGAAGGAACCAAGCAATAACTTATTGCATAGAATAAGCCGCCGGCGCTTTTCATCTTACATTGGTTCAGTCACCGTGGACTATTCCTAAGCCGAGAGCACTCAGGGGCTTTGCCGGGTTGTGCAGGGTTGTACAGGGACGTAGTGGACGTGGATCTAAGATCGAGATAGGGTCATAAGCCCGCATTAGCATGGCCAGCCCATGTTCGTCTTCCCTTAGTGAACGAATTGCACGGCATGGATTTCACCATGCGCGCTCGCAAGTCTTAGCACAGACACGGAGATGCCCGACGTTGCAGTCTCCATGGGCTGCACAGCATAGGCCCAGCGGTTAACACCACGGAACGACCAGCGGATGAACAAAAAAAAAGTGTTTCTGAAGTAATGACTTTTGGGCGATTTAGAATGTCATTTCGTGTTATTCAGAATGCCAGTTTAGGATGTTCCTTTGCTTAGGAGACGTTTCGGTTGTATGTTTGAACTGTGCATGCCTTGATTTATAACTGGAATGTAATTGCAAGCACAGTACCGCGAACCAATGGAGGAATATGGCAATGGAACTAGACAAGATTATGGCATCGTCGGTCCATATCAGGCAGACGGTGATGATGGTGGAGGGGGAGCAGCAGCAGACGCAGCCCGCACAGATCGGCGCGCAACTGCTGCCACGCCTGCTGGAGAAGTTGGCGTCCGTCGGTCAGGCCGAGCCCTCCATTCCAAACAGGGGGAATTGACGCGGTTTTCAGAGATAAGGAAGGTAACAAGTAAGTGTGGGCTAACGAGTGGTAGCAAAGGAGAAGGATGGACATTTGAGCCTGCGTAGTGAATACTGGAAGGGCTTTGGTCATGGACAAAGTGTGAGCTACGTGACAAGGATTATGTGCATCATGCAGGTGGCACATCATGTTGCCTGACACCTAGTCTAAGGCACAGGTAATAGATGGCGCCTCTGCCTTGAGGGTTGTGTGATTCGTGTGGCATTGCTCAAATGTAGATCTACAGCAATCAACAACATTTTCTTGCATCTTGACGACATTGTTTATCTTAATAACATTATCTTTTTTTCTATCCGCAGTTATGCTACAACATAGTTCACGACACGTTGTTCTGTTTTGAAAGCAGATGTTTTAACAAATTTACCTAGAAATTCTTCTTGCCGTCTACCTTTAGTGTGTTACACGGCTAAATCACATCGATGTCAGAAGTTTATGTGTCCGAGCTGCGACAGAGAATTTGCTGCGGTGGACATTGTTAGCCTGGACTCTCTTCTCTCATTTTGTCATGCTGCTCCCGCGAATATTTTGTGCCATGTGTCTCATCCGGAGAATCAGATCCAGGGTAAGATCTTTTCAGTGGTTGAAGTCTTTCATCATTTTGAACTTGCTTTGTCAATTCGGGAACAGACATAATCTCTTCTTTTCCTTATTGTGGCCACCGAGAGGGTTCTGACGGAGGGATATCATCTTCGTGGTTTGTGTTTGGACAATCTTACGGATGACTTGGTTTTTGGATAAGTTTGGTACTCATTTCATTTTTCCTGGCACCCAAACAGATAAGCTGAAGCTGTCAGACACATAAACATCTGTTTTAGGTTGCTGTTTTTCAACGTCCAAGTTGTATGGGGCGCAGCCTGCCTGAATTTGCTTCGATGGCCGGAAGGTTGATTTTTCGGAACGAAACATTTTCGTCGCACGGTTGCACAACCCCGTACGTGTACCCGGAAGGGCCGATGTCGCGGGGATCAAACCCCGCACCGCTGGGTTCCCAGAAGCGCAGCTTAACCGTTGAACTGCCGAAACTCCCAGCATCAGATAATATGGGTGTATAATATATAGAGATTTTAGCGGCCTGCCATGACGTCTGGACGCAGATTGTTCCTTGTTTTAGCTCATCTTCCACGAAATAGGTTTTTCGGAAAATATGTATTTGCATTGTCATAGAAAACATTTTGAACACACACATTGACTAACGCCAGGGAAAACGAGCCGTGCTCGCCTGGACATTTCGGGCAGAACGTATGCGCCTGATTTTCCCCAGGGCACTTACAAAACAGCACCTAGCACAGCCAATCCGTCGCTCCGCGCGCGGCGGCAGGAGAGCTCACTGGGCGGTAGGGCAGATGGGGTAGTTCGGGCAGAAGCTCGGGTCAACGCCGGCCGGGTAGCGCGCAGCCGGAGGGCCGGCTGGCGCCGCCTGGGGCGCGAACCGCTGCACACCCTGCTGGAAGTTCTGGAAGTTCTGGGGACCCTGGAAGTTCTGGGGACCCTGGAAGTTCTGGGGACCCTGGAAGTTCTGGGGGCCCTGGAAGTTCTGGGGGCCCTGGAAGTTCTGGGGACCCTGGAACTGCTGGGGACCCTGGAAGTTCTGGAAGTTCTGGGGAGCCTGGAACTGCTGGCGGTTCTGGAACTGCGGGGCGTTGAACTGCTGGGGAGCGAACTGCTGGTTGTTGAACTGCTGCGGCCGAGGAGCGAACTGCTGCGGCTGCGGGGCGAACTGCTGCCGGGGAGCGAACTGCTGGTTGTTGAACTGCTGCTGCTGAGGGGCAAACTGCTGCTGCTGGGGCCGAATGGTGGGCAGACCCCGAGGCGCCTTCGGCAGCACGGGCGAGTCGACCTGGAAGCCGTTCTTGCCAGCCGTGTACTTGACGACGATCGTCTGACCGTTGGCATCGACGTACTGGTACTGACCGCGCACCTCGCCGTCATTGCCGGCCGTCTCCACACGGGCAATGCCATCTTCCGACGCAAAGCCGAAGTCGTACTTGCCGGACACGTCGGCAGAGCGGTTCTCGTTGAGGATGGCCGCGTTCTGGGCCTGGCCCAGAACGGCTCCAATCGCGCCAAGGAGAACCAGCTGTCGAGAGGAGCGGGCGGTCAGCTGGCGACGGGACAGTGCTCACCCGGCTACCACGGGTCAGCCGCCCCTCACGAGAGGAGCAGGCCGTCAGCTGGCGACGGGACAGTGCTCACCGGCTACCACGGGGCAGCCGCCCTCACGAGAGGAGCAGGCCGTCAGCTGGCGACGGGACAGTGCTCACCGGCTACCACGGGTCAGCCGCCCTCACGAGAGGAGCAGGCGGTCAGCTGGCGACTGGACAGTGCTCACCGGCTACCACGGGTCAGCCGCCCTCACGAGAGGAGCAGGCCGTCAGCTGGCGACGGGACAGTGCTCACCGGCTACCACGGGTCAGCCGCCCTCACGAGACTGAGAGCCAGGGCCGGGTGTTTGGCGCAACCAGGGCAGGGCCGGGCGTCCGTATAACCAGGCGCATGTCACTGTCACTGCGAGTTATTAAGAAGATTGGACCGAGTGAGAAACAGGTCTTGAGGTGATTGGGTGAAAAATTGTGGCGTGCTTTCCTGGTTAACCAGTTGTATTTCCTTTTTAGAGCAAGTTTTCTCCTTACGATATCATGATCCCAAAATGCTTTGGGCTTGAGCAGAGTCTTTTCAAGACAAATGAGTCACAGTTGTACTTCATGATGGCGATGCTTTTCATACTTGCAAAGCCCCCCCCCCCCCCTTAAGGTAGCATGTAATTGCAATGCTTTTCCAGTTTGGGTGGATTTATTGGGGCTTAAAGACATGCTTTAATATGAATATATAGATGTGCTTTCTTTTTCCAACCGACTGGCATCACTGCAATTTAAGAAACAAATCACTCATAAGCACCACAATGCCCTCCCACATGAACAGCTAGAAAATTGGGTGCCGATAGCCGAGCGCCTAACACGATAAGGGTGCGCCTCTGGCCCCGGATGTCTGACACGAGGAAGGCGCGCCCCTGAGCCCTGAGGGTCTGACACAATAAAGGCACGCCCCTGAGCCCTGAGCGTCTGACACGATAAGGGCGTGCCTCTGACCACTGAGCATCTAACACGATAAGGGCGCGCCCCTGAGCCCCGAGCGTCTGACACGTTCAGAGTGCGCCTCTGAGCCCCGAGCGGCCGGTAGTGCTCTGAGGTGATGTGGTGGTGGTGTGATGCCGCTCAGCCGTCGCTCTCCACCGCTGCAGCCGCAGCCGCGCCGGCCGGCTCCTCACCTGTCCGATCATGTTGACTCTCGACTGTCCGGTGACGGTGTGTGTGGCCCTGTCCTTGACAGGCGGCTTATATACGGACGGCGCGCCCGACCCCGCCTAGCCGGCCCTCCACCCTGACCTTCCCCGGTGCGTGTGCAGGCGGCCGGCGTCGGCAGGCGTCCATCGTCGGACGCCTCCCAGCCTTCCGGTGGTCCCGCCCCGCGCAGGCCACACGGCGAGGACCGCCCCCGGGCCAGCCCACACAGCCAGCCAGTATCGCACACGACGGCTCGGCACCTGATGCGGCCGCCAGTGGTCTCAATAAATCGCGTTTGTGTTAACCAGCATAGCCGATGTGACTTCAATGGTCTATAGTACATCGTAAAAAGTGTTAACGATAGTCTGTTCACACGCGCATTTTTTAGCTATCGGTCGAGCGTAAAAAGCAGCCGACGCCCTGAGAAGAGGCATGAGGTGTAGTGCATATTCCAGGGTGCTCAAATTGGGAGGTAAGGCGGGCTGCTCGTTGCAAGTGAAATCATACCTAAGGTCTATGTGGTTGCTTTGACAATCTCCAGGGAGGGATGGAGTTTTGCAAGATAATTTGGGGGCTGAGGAAAAAAAACCTGACTAAACTTTCCCAATGAAATACGCAAAAACGTGCTTCATCGCCAAGGTTGGCCCACTTTCTACGCGAAACTGGAAGGGGGAGGCTGGAGCCCCCCCCCCTACGCTCACACACACATACACACACATACACACACGACTGAATATGAAACTACATCCATGTATGCAGGTGCATGAAGAAGTAACTGACGAAGATAAGTTGCCTGCCAGGAATGGAATTGGGCAACCAATATTCTTCGGTCTCCTCTACTCTAAAATAATTCCCAGTTTTGAGTGCGACGAGAGGGAGAGGGAGACCGAATCATGTACTATGTGCAGCGGCGGTAGCTGTCAAAAAGTGCGACGTGTTCAGCAGGGTTGGAACTTTGTATCTCTTTGGGGCAGACCCCCGCCCCCCAATGCTGATGTGGGGATGGCCCCCTCCCAATTTTGGGTTGGGCCCCCAATGCTAGGTTTCTTCCCTAATATTTGGCCATCATTATATTTTGTCCGGCCTTCAACATGTGCAACTTGATTCCCGATGCTCTTTTTTACTTCGCAAAGCTATCAGTTTTCGAAATAAACATGATTTAAGATCTTGTATGGACTCACAATCTGGTTTTAAAGAAAGACACTTATATCACACAATACCTATTAACTTGCGTTAAACGAAACCCGCAAAAAGCTGCGTTTTGAAAGTCGCTACCCTTACATTGAGTGTGCGTCATTGGGGCTTCACGACGCTTCTGATTTGTAGGGGTAGCAGAAATGGGTGAAACTATTAAAATTCGCAGACTTTTGACGCGACATTCTTTCTTGAAGTGAAACTTTACGATCAGCTACCTGGAATATGAGTAACATGGTTTGTGTTGTTGACATTGAAATATTTAAATATTGTGCTGCATGTCTCGTGTGCATTGAAAGAGCACAAAACTTTCTTACATTTTAAGTAAAGAATGTGACACGAGCGATGCATGAACAAAGTAAGTTCGAGATATTAGAATCAAGGAGATTAGGTATACTGCGCTCTAGCGCGTAAAATCGTCTTGCATTCAAACTACAAGAAAGTTATAGCATAGCATATTAAAAGCTTGCAAAAAGCAAATCTTGTAATGCGGAACATGCACAATATACCACATGTAATCCGTACATAGTTCGTACTAAATCACCTACGCATTTTCCCATTGTCTTAGCGTGAACAGCACCAAGGACTCCTGACGCGATAGTGTAATTTTGGCCGCTCGTCATGTTGTAACTGTTAATTCCGTTCGAAGAATCTGCCTCAAAATCGCATAGATGAATTGCATTGGAGATGAGCTGAAGGGCTTGTTTGTCCCAGCCGGGGCAAACTAGCAACTGTTATTCTGGCGGTACGGGGACCGGGGTACCCTGGTTGATCTGGAGGCGCTTAGAAGGATGCACCATGCACCGGTTCCACCCCTGATGCGGCAGGCCCTCTGACCAGGGTATCTGACACAGGATCGACGCAGGGACACGTCACTGACGCCAAAGGAGCCCTTACCGCCACAGCGAGTCCACTGCCTACTTGGCGGCGAGACAACATTTCGGCTTATCGACTCCTGCTTCCTGCTTGAAACGGTGCGGAGAGCCCTCGTTCGGTCCCGTGACCTCTGACTGGCACTAGTCACTGTCTCATCGTGAGTGCAAATGGTTATATCATCATTGTTCACGTCTGTTGTTTTAATCTAAAGGGTCCTAACCAACGCAACAGGCCTTTTGACATTGGAGGTCACGCTCCTGCTCCTGTTTAGCAAGGGTGCCTAAGATTTTGGTCCGACTGGGTGTACTTGCCGACTCGAGGCCCTTTGTTGGGCACTGTGAGCCACTGATCAGCACAGGGGCCGGACCAATGCTTGATCTTTTGAATTATCATTTACAGGTCCAGCCCTGCCCAGATTTGGGAATAAGGCCCCAGCGCTAAGACGAACATCCCCGGGCCTGCCCTTCGGATTCTTCGATCGGACGCTTGATCGTCGTTCCCCCGCGCCCAAAATGGCTGCTTGAGATCTCGGGCTCTAGAAACTGGAAGGCACGGAAGTGGCGTAACGCCGGATTTTGGTGCCCTCTAAAAATGAAGGTGCTGGGGTTCTTGAAATGACCCGTTTTGGTTTCGTGCCTGCTAAAAATAAAGGTAACGACGCCCCAAAATAAAAGCTTTGGTGGTCCATTGCCAAAGGCCGATACCGGGCCTTTCCCATGGGAAGGCGAGAGCATTGTGGTGCCCCTGAACTTGTCGTCTTAGTATTAAACTTTTTGTGACCCATTATGGTGACATTGGAATCAGGTGCATGTTTAGATAATGTTTGTGATGTCACGCAATGCAGGCTCGGTGATGCCTCTTTGCGGAAGGAGCCAATCCAGTCTTTGGTTAGGAAAGAAAGCTTACAATTGGTGGAGTCCCTTAAAACGAGGTTCTTCGGGATTCTTCCAATAGTTCGGTTGGACTTGTTGCCTATAGTACATAAATGTTTTGGTGTCATGAAATGAAGGTCTTGGTGCCCTTCACAAATAGGGCCGAGAAATACGACGACGATTTAATCAGTGCAGCGCCACAGGTGTTTCAATCTGACAGTGACTGAAATTTGCTGTGTTAAAGATGAATGCCTCGGGATCCTTTGAGGTGCCTCCTGCCATCGGGTGTTTCTGGAAAACAGGTTATGACTTTCAAAATGATTTGTTAAAACATGAAAAACTTCATCTAAAACAGGTTATTACCTCAACAACAAAAAGCTCACTTTGCCGAAAAGCAAAGATCGGACCGATCAGGAATTTCATCATGGTGAAACGCACAGAAACCCCTCTTGAAAATAAAGGTCACGGTGCCTGGAAATAAAGGTTGTGGTGCAACCCGCCTAAGGACCCGTTCCTGGATTTTGTTCGGGGGCAGGCACAACATTGTTGTGCTTCTTGAGAATGATGGATTGCGGCCCTTCGCGTTGCCCTCTGGAATTGGGCGCCACTTGAATAAAAAGGTCGTGGTGTCGGAAATGATGGTTTTAGTGCCCCTTTGCCGAATGGGCCAATCCAGGCTTTTGTCAGACAAGGCATATATATAGTAGCGCCCCTGGACTTTGGTACCTCCTGAAAATGAAAATGTGGGACCATTTGCATTGTCTCTGGAATTTGGTGCCTGTTGGAAACAAAGGCTCTTTGGTTTCGAAATAATGTTTTGGTGTGGACCAAGGGGGTGACTCATGAGTGGACCAAGGGTAGGGTGGCATGGCCCCATGCCTTCTCCCATCCTCACGGTACACCTTGTCCGCATTGTTCGATTACAAGCTGAATGAGACCATTAAGACAGCTCTGGAGCATCGTCATCACGCCATTAGATGAAGCATCTTCTTTAGCCTCAGTGGCTTGTACTTCGGGGGGAGCCTAACAGCCGCTTAAAATCGCTGCCTTCCCGCATTCTCCTGGAGCGACCTCCAAGCGGCACCATTTGTGAGTGCGTGGAGCGTCCACCATGGCAGGCAAGTGCCGTGGCCAAGTAATGGCTGGTTCTTCCCCAGCAAATGATCCGTCTTTGAACAATAACAGAGAGAAAAATCGATATCTGAAATATTCAGAAGCTGTGAGACGTCTATGAAAAAGCATTGCTTAAATACAAACGTCCATGTGCTGTCCCGTGCTCATCAAGGGATGAGCTCTGGAGGATGGCTGCAGCTCGTAATATTGAGCACCGTTCATTTACTCGCTGTTCAGCCCTACAATGCCGTTTTACTAGTACCTCCCGAGATATTGAGGGCCTTTAACTTAGCGTAAGAACTCTGAGCGCGTGATACCGAAAAAACCAGGAGCTAAAGAACTCTCTCTTATATTAAGTCCAAATTATGACCGCAGAGCAAAACGGGCAACACTCATGAACAAATGCGTCTGACTGATAGGATGGGCAAGGTTCATGGGTTCCCCTCACCCCCCACCCCCCACCCACCACCCCCAATGAAAAACGCAAAGCCTCACCCGTGGTGCTCAGTAAGATAATGTCCTGAGCAGATGAGTGTTTTGGGCCTGTGGATATATAAGTATATCCGGCGCCCCCCCCCCAAAAAAAAAAACGCTTGAGTGAACAGACCATGAACATCGTTCTTACCAATATACTGCAACCGCACACTTTAAATGCATGCGTTGTCACTTCCGGCCCGTTTCCGTAATTTCTTTGTGTTGTATGCTTCTTGCCACAGGTTATAAATTTCACCATTATGTGGTAATGGCAATTAAAATATAATCCAGCGCCTCGCATCAATGTTCCTTTGCGCTGTCACTGGTTATAACGACCACTCCTATTAGGCGATGTAGGACCGACAAAGAAACTATTCATACCATTCAACCAGTCGGGCACTGTCGCCACGGCCCTGTGTCATACCGTAGCGGCACAATCAACAACCAGGCATACACGATGCACGTGGCAGGAGCGTATATGGTATCGGTTCGCTGTCACTGTTGTGAACGCCATCCTCCAGCACAAAAACGGCTTTTCAA